ACAAAACCATTATACCCTGATTTCCCATTTTCAATGGGTTCAGGGTATAATTAGAACTAAACACCCACAATGCCCACTGACTGCTGGGTATAAAGAGACAGAGAGAGAGAGAGAGAGAGAGAGAGAGAGAAAGAGAGAGGGAGACGGAAGGAGCTATTCGGCGTGAGTTAATAATGTTTTGCTGCAGCAATTGCGGGCCAGAGCTGTGCAGCAAATGCAATAATAGCAGCAACAACAGAAACAACAACAACAGCAACAACAACGACAACAACAACGACAACAACAACAATTGCAGATCGCATTAACCAAATGCGGTCAACAGCACAGTTTAAACGACATTTTTGCTGGCTGATATGGTCTCGATTTGGAGTGCGGCCCAACTCGGACAGTTTTATTGCCAGAGTTGTTGTTGTTGCAGTTGTTGTTGTTGTTGTGCCTTAAAAGGCGCTGCCAGTTACAGTTGTTGCAGTAACTGCTGCCGCATCGGCTGCCTCGGCTGCTGCGATAGCTAAACAGTAAAAAATTAATTTTTGTCACTTCATGAATCGCTAAGCTAGCAAGGCCACGCCCACACTCAAAGCCCCAACAAGTTAGAGCATGCGCTATTCGTTGTTATTGCCAGGCCTACTGCCCTTTAGGTGTTTGAGTGTTGAATGTTGAATGTTGAAGGCTTTTAGCGTGCGTCAGGAAATGCGCAACATTTTCATTTAATAACAACAATAACAACAACAACAACAACAGAAGCAATAACAGCAAATTGTTAGACTCGCAAGTTGCCTGCTCCAATGGCTTAATTTGCCTTCTACGGCAGGCGCTGTGGCGCTGCTGCCAAAGGAAGTTGCTAGACTTCCAGAGCCCCGACGAGTTCTGCCTCTATGGCTATATCATGATTATCATATGACGTGACAGCTTCGTATTCATATTTGATGTATGCATTTGGGTCATAAACCTCCTCAAACTAAATACTGTTGTTACCGCTCTATGGCTGCGTCCCAGCGCAAACTGACTTCGAGTTCTGTTGGCTTTGAGCCTAAGCAACTTGGCCTGGTTGAAATCAATTGCGAAACTTTGACACAATTTAGAGAACTTTATAAAGTCATTTAATTGATGTCAACGTTGAATTTGCCTGATTTACTAATTAGTCGCACATATTGAGCTGCGAATTGCTAAAAGTTTTCAATTGTAAATGACAAGGGAACCTGGCTAGTTTTATTGGCATACAAGTAGTAATAGTAATAATGGTATAATAATAGTTGACTGTGAGTTACTTATAATAGAAAATAATATATTGAAATATATTCCATATATACTCAAAGTCATGTTTGCAAAAGTTGAAGAGATATAGAAACAGAGAGAAAGGGAGTGGGCTATAAGGAGAGGCAGAAACAATGGAATAACTACAGAGCTGTTGAGTCGACGAGGCTTGTCCGTGCCAATTTTATACGGGAATAAATGTAAGTCAATGCGGATAATTCGTATTGCGTAAGTTCCTAGTGTGGTTCGAACGTCGATTTTGGGATGTCTTTGGCGACGTCTCAGTACTCTCATCCGATTACTGACTAATGCTAAAAATCAGTTTGAAGTGAAACTTCCAATGCGACATGTTAATAAACGATATGTCAAAATATATAAGGCTGTCAGATGAGTCAGTCGAATATGGAACGCCCTGTATATATGAGAGAGCAACGTCTTCTATTCCTCTGTTCTTATAATTCATCAAGAGGAGCCGCTCAAGATTTCAGATTCAATTTAATTTCACTTAAAACCGCCTACTCCCTCCTCCCCACACCAATCGCTATCTTTACAGGGTATCTGCTAGTCGCACACACTTACAACATCACTTAGTCAGCCCATCTGCAACAGAGGGACTCCATGCACATGGACGGAGCCAACTAATTGGCTCACACAAGTGCCGGCACTTGCCACCAAATGTTGCATGTAGTTGTTGCAAATGGGCTAACAAATAGTTTTGCACATAGATTGTCGGGCGCCACTTATTGATTCCGTGAGGCAATCGAAGTGCTATTAGCCGGCGTCCAATTGACGCGCACCGCCCCCCGACCGCTCTAGCCCAGCCATGCCCTGTTTTACAGGGTATTTCGAGCTATTTGCGATGGGAAATTAGAAACGTTTTGAAGTATTTTCGTTAAACTATTGTAAAATTGCGATAAGCGAAGCGTTTTACTGGGGAGTTGCCAAATGGGAATTCTTCCCCAACGACGCATCGTCTTCATCGTCTACAGCTGCTGTTTGATGTGCCAGCAAATCGTTTGGGGGGCCAATTTGCTAAGCAAATTTTCCATTGAGAAAACGCGCACAGAAAGGCAAAAGGCGCAAAACTTTCAGCTGCGTTGCGCGGAAAATTCTTGAGGCGTGTAGAGAGTAGAGAGAGAGAGAGAGAGAGGGAGGGAGAGCTGAAGGTAATTGCAGCTAAGGCTGATGGGTAATTGAAATTCGTTTGTTTATGTTGTCATTGTTGTGGCAGCCACAGCCACAGCCGCAGCAGCCGCATGTTTGTTGTTCTGCTGTTGTTGGCCGTGCCTCGTTCTGGGGGCAGATTGAAAATTACTTAATGGTTCAGTGGCGATCCGGCTACGGCTGCGGCTGCGACTGCGGCTGCGGCTGTTTGGCTACTGTTAAATGAGCGCCAAGTGCCGGACAAATGCGAAAATTGCCGCGATTCGAGCAGAGACTGAAGCTGCAGCTCGCCTTGGCTCAGCTGCAAGTGGCAACAGTGTGGCAGCTGCGGCAGCCAGCAGCTTAAGCGTGTTGACAACGCATATTTATAAGCCCATTACAATTTTATGGACTACAACATATTTCTGATAGCTGGCCAACAAAAGCCAGTCGCATTCATTTTGTGGTCGATCACTTTTTCGTTAACCAATGAAATGGCATATTGCGTTTCTATATATGTCATTGGCAGCAACGGCAATTTGTGGTTCAATTCATAGGCACAGAGCTATGTAATTATAAATACATAAGCCCAACATCTGCCAGCAAATGCAATGAAAAAATGTAATAAAGTTCCCAGCTCGCTTTAAGCAAAGAAATTTAAAAAACAAGTAAGAAAACTCTAGTCGAGAGTGCTCGACTAGATACTACCCTGAACCAAA